CGCAAGATTGAGTATCATGAACAAGGCGACCCCCCGATCGCGCCTCCCAAAGCTGTCACTGAGGATTCGACCACCACTACCGAGCCCAGCGGCCCCTGGGCTCAGCACTACACCCACTCCGACATCGAGACGATCCTCAATACCCCCGGTGCCCGCAAGGTCGCCGGCGTCGAGGCGACGAGCGCGGCCGAACTCATCACGCAGCGCCAGAAGACCATCCTCCGCTGGAAAACCCGAGACGAAGAAGTCACCCGCGAGAACGCCGTCCTGCGCGTCGACGTCGGTCGAGCCCAGAAGGAGCTTCGCGAGATGCGCCTGTCTGTCGACCACGTCCTGGCGCAGAGGGCTGCCCAAGAGCGCGCCGATCGCGAGCGTGCAGCGCGGGAGCTCAGAGAGGCCTGGGAGCGCAAGGCCGCGTGGGAGCGTGCTGAGAAGGAGAGAATCGCAGCGGAAGAGCTCGCCGAGAAGGAACGCAAGGCCGCCGAGGAGCTTGCTGAGCGAGAGCGTAAAGCTGCTGAGGAACGCGCCGAAGAGGAGAGGAAGGCGGCCGAGGAGCTCGCCAAGCGACAGAAGCATGAGAAGCGGGTGTTGCGCCGTGTGTCTGCGCACTTGCACGACTTGCGGTACGAGGTTCAGGCTAAGTTCCACTCCCTCAAGGACGCCGAGGATGAGAATGAGAAGATGAAGAAGGAGCTGGTTCGTTGCAAGACCCGTATCATGGAAGAGTGCTCGAGAGCCAACTTGTCGAGTCCCGATGAGGTTCGCCGGGCTGTCTCGCAGAACTTCCGGGATAAGATGGCAGCCTTGGACCTTTCTGGTTGAAATCTGGAATGAGTTTGCAGTGGGAAATGGACTATGACACAGTCGGCTGTTCTTGTGACATTCTCGCTTCTATATTGCTATGTTCAGCGTGGCTCTTTATTGCCTGTTGCTGATGGATAAGTTCTAGGATTTGGATTGTGGTGAGTTCACCGGGCTCACGAGAATACCAGGACAAAGCTATATGGCTGGGGCGATCGGTGACGACTCGACTTTTCTCGACAACTATGATGGCTTTGGATCTTCGAGTCCTGGCCTCTCAGTCTTTTGACAAGTTTGTTATGAGCAGACAATTAGGTACTGCCAAGCTACCATCATCAGTGTCGAGTGGGACCATTGACTAACACCACGTCGCAGGTTGGGGGAACGCACAGTTCTTGACGAACTCTTCCGATCTTGTCCCCCTTTTCCAGATTGCTTTCTACGAACGATAATTTGGGTCATGATGTGTCCATTGTTTGAGTACGATGCTCTATGTCGAGATTACTGGAAGATGTTAGATTGGCCTAGGAGCCGAGTGCGGCCTTATGACATTGTTAGTGGAAATAGGTAGTGCCAAAATATTACGTTCAACCTTGATCGGTTGTGATTGCAAAGACCGGGATGTGATTGTGCGTGTGTGATTAAGACACAGGGAGATTGAAATCCCCTAGACGGTATGATTAAATTGTACCAGAGCTTTGAGAAGAATCATTAGACCCCGAAACCCCTATTCGGGGTCTATGTATACACAAACGTATCCAGATTCTATCCGTTTCTTCTTTTCATCCAGCAAAAAGGCCTTCCCATTTGCGGCCCCCTTACATTTTTTTCCGCCATGCTATTGTCACATCATGAGAGGAGCATTATACACCGACCGGAACGCCCAGTTCGCTGTTCCGGGAATCGAGAGAATATCGTAGAACATAATGGTACAAGGGGGGCTGGTAGGTTGCCGACGCCTCCAGCGGTGAGCCGACCAGCCCCATGATTTTTTAGAACAAGATCTTCGTAGAGATCGGAATTGTGATGTAGGATGTCGAGACATCGGCCTCTTAAGCGTTCTTGACGACGCCGACCTTGGCAGCGCGCATCACGCGGCCGTTGAGCTTGAAGCCCTTCTGCTGGACGTGGAAGACGGTGTTGTCCTCCTTGTCGGGCTGAGGTGCCATGAAGGTGGCGTCGTGCTCGTTGGGGTTGAACTTCTCGCCCTCGGGGTCGAAGCGCTCGATGCCGTGCTTCTTCAGCGTCGACATGAGGATGTCGTCGGTCATCTTGAGACCCTCGTACAGGTTGGCGAGATCCTTGAGATCGCCCGACTTCTCCTCGACCTTGAGCTTCTCCTGGGGCACCATGGAGAGGGCGCGGTCGAGGTTGTCGATGCTGTCAATGAGATCCTTGGAGAACTTCTGCAGGGCGAAGTCGCGCGCCTGCTTGACCTCGCGTTGTGTGCGGTCCTGGAGGTTACGGAAGTCGGCGATGGTGCGAAGGCACTTGTCCTGGAGAGTTGCATGTTAGAATTGGGTCTCGATCCTCGGTGTCCGAGATCGGGGGACAGAATGCGAACGAACCTTCCAGTCAGCAGCCTCCTTCTCCTTGGTCTCCAACTGCTTCTTCAGGGCAGACTCGGCATCATCGGCAGGCTTCTCGCCCTCCTTGGTGGCCTCGGTCGTCTCCTTGGCGTCGCTGTACCATCTCGCAACGGCAGGTCGCGCGGCTCGTATCCTGAAGGCAGGGGAGCTCTGGAACTGATTTTGGAAAACAGACTTGGGAGTCTGGGTGCGCATGCCGGTGCGCACTGCGCGGGAAGAGGTAGCAATGGCTTGTCTGAACATTTTGGCGGTTGTGGGGTTGTGTAAAAGACTCGGGCGGGCGGAAACGTGGTTGGAATCGAGGAGGCGATGTAGGGACTGGTCGTGTGTACGGAGAAGCTTTTAGAAGAAAATGAAATTTTATCGGAATGGCCCCAAGTGACGAATTGCCGTCCCTTGACCCCCCGGCCATGCGGGAAAGTTCGCGCCCAATCATAAGATTCCAGACAGCTCCATCCGGGGGCGGATGAATCGAGGGACCGCTCAGAGCTTTATCGATAACACTAGCGCCAAGGCAAGGCCAACGCGCTCTCAGCAGGCGCCAGGCACAGTCGCCGCACCTTCCAATTGGTAATTCAGTGGCACCTGAGGCGGCAGGGTTCACTCTGGCTCTGGTCGCAAAAATATCCATTCAGCCTCCCCTCCACCGTGACACAATTGCCATCTGCCACCATTCAGTCCACCTGCGACCCACGATAATTACGATTGCCAAGGCGCTCTTGCTTCACGTACATACGAAATTGAACACGTTTGCCGCACTATCATCAGGATTGCATCTCAGAACCTTTGGCCGAGCTACAACTGAAAGGGGAACGGCGGCGCGATGGATTACGAGCCGATGCTGTTGGATGGCGAGTCCGGAGGACCATCGATCAAGATCTCAGGGGTATTACTTCCCAAAATCCACTTAGCTAGTGGCATTTCAAACTGACAGCCCGGCGCATCGTTAGGCTGATAACATCCACGTCAACTTTGATCTATCGAACTGCGACCTTTCCTTCGCCAACTCGCTGCGTCGCGTTATCCAGGCTGAAGTCCCTGTGATCGCCATCGACCTGGTCGAAATCGAGGCCAACACATCTGTCCTCGCTGACGAGTTCATTGCCCATCGCCTGGGTCTGATTCCCCTCCAGTCCAAGGACGTCAACAGCTTGCTTTACACCCGAGACTGCGACTGCGAGCAGTATTGCGACAACTGCAGCGTAAAGCTTACGCTGCATGCGCGATGCTCATCAGACGAGACCATGAAAGTCTACGCCAGCGACCTCATTGTCGACAGCTTCAGACAGAACGGCACCGTAGGAAACCCTGTAATCCTCGACCCTGAAGGACAAGGCTCTTTGATTGCGAAGCTGCGCAAAGGGCAGGAGCTTAAGGTATCATGCATCGCGAAGAAGGGTATTGCAAAGGAGCATGCAAAATGGATGCCAACGTCTGCTGTTGGGTTTGAATACGACCCTCACAACAAGCTACACCATCTGGACATGTGGTTCGAAGAAGATGCGAAGGCCGAATGGTGAGTGACTGGATTGACATGTTCCTTGAAAGATGAGAGTCGCTAATGGTAGCAAAGGCCCGAGAGCAAATATGCCAAGATGGAGGACCCCCCACAAGAGGGCGAAGCTTTCGACTACGACGCAGTTCCCGGCAAGTTTTACTTTGAGGTCGAAGGCGTGGGCAGTCTGGAGCCGGATCAGATTATCCAGGAAGGAATCAAGATCTTGCAGGAGAAGTTGGCCCTCACGCTCCACATCCTCACAGGCGAGGCAGACGACGATGGCATGGGCGACTTTGATGGACCTCGCAGTCCCAACTTGGATATGGACGGCGGCAACCCCTGGCAAGATCAAGGCTATACCACTCCTTTCAATGGCGGCAACCAGACCGCGTGGGGAGGCAACGCAACGACACCCTACACCACAACGACACCTTACGGCGCCTCCGGACAGTCTGGATGGAACTGAGAGAGAACAACGGACACAAAATCATAAAAAGGCGTTCATGTATGGAAACCACTTTGAGACATGGGGGTGGTAATGGAGTTTGCGAATTTTTGCAAAGAAGCTAGCTTGGCCATCAGCTGGCTACATTGATTCAGCTCGGTGGAGGTGGAGTTTGCCTGACGACGCGCGAAACGGAATCAATACGCACAACAAGATGCACTCCGCAGCGGCAAGAGGGGGTAGGCTTCTCAGCGTTCTGACGGCTAGACCTGAACTCAGACTGGCTTGGCTTATAGACACCCGTGACAGGGGATGACGGCGGTAGAGCAATCGTAAAATAAGATAACAGCCTGTCAAACACTCGGGCAAAGAGAGGTGGGCGGGGTTCGATTTCGGCCGAGAAGGCAGCTCTTCTACCGGACATCTGTAATACAACTCACACAAACCTCACACAAAGCGGACATGAAATTGCTGCAAAGAAAATCAACCATATCTTTCTTTCCTGTGTATACCCTCCATTACTCCTGTCAAATGCAGCAGAGTTGCCTCTTTTTCCGACGCCTCCAAACATGCCAAGATGGTACTAGTGATGATGATGCAGCGCCAGTCTATCTAGGTATTTTAACGCTCATTCTATAACACAACACAAGCCTTTTTTGTGTGTCTATTACCCCTTGATGGACGCATCTTCACCGTTGCCGATATCAGCAACCTTTCTATAGACCTTGCGGTGCATCTCTAGGAAGACAAATGTACAGATTGTTTGTCTAGGCGGGGGTTAGTAAAGTGTATACAAGACGTCCATCACGCAAGCAAGCGGGGAGAGGGACAAGAACGTACGGTCCGAGGCGGAGGAAACTGGGCACCCAGCCCTTGAACATCCACCCAAGGCCCTCAGCTTTGTAAATCTTGGCCAGGGTATGCGCCAGCCCCTCCTGGGTGCTCGCCGACATGACCCGCGTCTTGATGACATCAATGGGGCTCGTCACCGTGGCGGCCATCACACCAGCGAGGAACGAGGCCGTAAAGTGCGTCGTCAGGTTATCCCCCATGGGCGTGTGGCGGATGAGGATACCCTTGAAGGTATCGTACGACGCGAGCTGCGAGGCCGTCATGGCCGCAGCGCGCATGCTGTTGGGGAGGACGCCCCTGAACCAGCTCATGATGCCTTCCTCTCGCGCCATGCGGAGCATGCCCTCGAGGGCGTGGCTGTAGTTACGGCGCTCGGCGGCGGGGAGGGCGGCGTCCTGCTGCATGCGGACGTTGAGGACGTCGGCGGCGTTTCCCGAGATGCCGCCGACGAAGCCCGCGGCCGAGGCCATGGCGACGAGGACGGGGAAGGAGGGGGGTTTGCCGTCGTTTGCGCGGGTGGCGCGGATCTTCATCTCCTCGTAGGCGCCGAAGCGGACGGTGGAGTAGGTCATCTGGCGGAGGAGGGAGGCCGAGAGGCCGTTGTAGAGGCCTGTCACGCCGTGGTTGCGGATGATGTGGGTGAAGGTGCCGACCATGTTTTTTGGCGCGTCGGGGCGGCGGACCTGGAGGCGGACCTAGAGGAGGATGGCATTGTGTAAGTAAGTAAGTTCTTGCTTTGGGAGCGACGTAGTTGTGTCGTTATTTGCTACGGCTCTTAAGAGAGCTTGAGTTTGCTACCATGAATCGAGGCTTTCATTCGCTGGTGTGTTGTAGAAGTGGGAGCGCATTACCTTCACTGTGAGACATTGTCAGCTCTTGGCTCACTCCGACGTTTGTAATATCGCAGGCTCTCTCGCGCGCCATTATCTCGAGATCAAGGTTGGTAGAACTTACCCAAATCCAGGGGATGGGTCACGCAGGCGGCCATACTACTGGCGCTGCCTCCGAACCAAAAAGGATACCTCAGCGATGGTTCCGCCGTCTTCTTCTGCTTTTGAGGCGCCGGCGTCGTCGCCGTAGCCGTCGGTTGCGCTTTCGACTGCTGCTTCTCCTGAGCCCCCTCGACCTGGCCCAACTTCAACGGCGAGGGCTGCGACGACGACGGCGGCCCGGACGGCTCGTCGGCCGATTTACTGGCGACCATGTTGGCGGCGGCGGCGGACTGCATCGTTGCAGGGTGTTGCGCAGTTCCCTATGATAAGCTCATCCCGTTGCGGCGCAATTGAACACTGCGTCGCGAAAATGGCAAAGGATCCGTAAGTAAAGAAGCACAAACGGACGACCTTTGTCGGATTTAACGTGAGTTATGTCCAAGATTGCCTGGTTCCCCTCTCTCTCGTGTCGGCAACTATCAGCTGAGTAGCGTGTGTTGCTGGGACGTCACTTTTCGGTCGTTGCGGTCGAGTGACGTCTTTTTTTTGTTATAAAGCCGACTTCGGGGGAGAGGGTGGTGTGGTCGTGCAGGAGGCCTTCTTTTTTTTTTTTTGTCGCTGCTTTGGGGTATGCAGGTGGTGGGAGGAATGGAAGAAGCCGAGGAATTGGAGACCGGCTCGGTTTATCGCGAACTTTTTTTTGTCGTTATCTTTTTTTTATTTACCTTAATTAACACCGATTCGGCTGAACGAGGGACGCGCTTCGAGTCGGCTCAAGGGAACGAAAGAAAAAAAAGGAGATTTGCTGATTGATCAAGTCCCCTTTCAGAGGGAACCACCACCACCAACAGTCAACAACAGAACCTGTTGCTTCGATTTTTTTGGTGCGTCATTGGGCCTGCAGCGAAGCCAGGGTGCCATGCGCTAATGGAGGGCGTCTCCGGACCCTTGCTCCGGGGGGAGTCGGCAGGGTCTGGCGCCGTGTGCCCGCCCCGGGTCGCAATGCCAATTGGCTTGGCCCGTGCATCCCGTAGCTTTTGTCAGACTTCTGGAGATCGACACTTTTTCGACCAACTGCTGCGAAAGCTCCCTTTTCCTAACGGCAGCTCTTGTCGCAACGCTACATCGAAGCTCTACGCCTGTGATGAGCACATAGGAAAAGGGCCTTTGCAAACGGACAAGGGCGTTCACAACTTCAAAATGCTCGTCCCAAGATTAGCCGGTAGGCAATTGCAAAGTTGCTTCCGTGGCGCCACCTGCGCCGCGAGAGCTCCCCGACAATGGCAGGCCATCGCTTCATTGTCGATGAGCGGTAGCCGGCGCAGTTACTCCTCAGGTTAGATCACAATCAATTGGTCCTTGGTGATCCCTTTAACCTAAACAAACAAATATCACAGAACCCTCGACGATTTCAAGAACCCTAGACCAGAAAAAGACCGTCGATGTCAACGGCCAAACGATACCGACAGACACCTGGTTCAACGTCCCGACAAACGTCCTCGACGCCGCCTCGCGCAAGCTTCACCTCCAAAAAGATCACCCCGTCTACATCACGCGGCAAATCATCGAGTCGCAGTTCCCGGCGCCAACATACAAGTACCACAACACCTTTGACCCCGTCGTCACGACGCACCAGAACTTTGATTCGCTCGGGTTCCCCCTGGACCACCCCGGCCGCGCGAAATCAGACACCTACTACTTCAACAAGGACACCCTCCTCCGCACGCACACGAGCGCCCACCAGGCGCAGACTTTTCAAAAGAACCTGAGCGAGGGCTACCTCATCAGCGCAGACGTCTACCGCCGCGACGCCATCGACAGGAGCCATTACCCCGTCTTCCACCAGATGGAAGGCGCCCGCATGTGGGACAGGACAAAGGTGCCTAACGGCGACATCGCCGCCGCCGTCTGGGAGGACCTCGATAGGCTGCCGAGGCACAACGTGAAAGTCGAGGACCCGCACCCGGCCTACGATGCGGAGCGGAACCCCCTACAGGAAGGTCACCACTCCCCCGCCGAGGCCGAGGCCATCGGCGCCCACCTGAAGCGCTCGCTCGAGAACATGGTGGTCGAGATCTTCACGAGAGCGAAAGCCGCCGCGGCGAAGGCGGACCCGGATTACAAGGACGAACCCTTGCGTGTCCGCTGGGTCGAGGCGTACTTCCCCTTCACGAGCCCCTCGTGGGAGCTCGAGGTCTACTATGCAGGCGACTGGCTAGAGGTGCTGGGCTGCGGCGTGGTAAAGCAGGACATCGCCATCAACGCCGGCGTGCCGCAGCAGGTCGGCTGGGCCTTTGGCATCGGCCTCGAGCGCATCGCCATGCTCCTCTTCCAGATCCCCGACATCCGCCTCTTCTGGTCCAAGGACGAGCGGTTCCTGAGCCAGTTCCGGGGCGTCTCGGACCAGCTCGATAGCATGAAGCGCTTCGTGCCCTTTTCAAAGCATCCGGCCTGCCCCAAGGACGTCTCCTTTTGGCTCGGGAGCACCTCCTCGGCAGCAGGCGGCAACACGAAAGCCAACACGCAGGATTTCCACGAAAATGATTTCATGGAGCTGGTGCGCGACATCGCCGGCGAGCGGGCCGAGGACGTCCGGCTGGTGGACGAGTTCACGCACCCCAAGACGGGGCGACGTAGCATGTGCTACCGCATCAACTACCGAAGTCTCGAGCGGACCCTGACGAACGAGGAGACCAATGAGCTGCACAGCGAGGTGACCCGGAAATTGGTCGAAAAGCTAGGCGTCGAGATCCGGTAGGGGAAGACAGAAGAAAAAAAAGGCAAACAAACACTGTGCAAGCAGTTGTTCAACGGTTGGCATAGTTTGAGGGGTAAAAGGGGGCTGTGCTGCCAACAACTTGTTATTCCCTCATCTTGAAGATGGGACGAGGGCTTCCCGATCCGATGGCGGTGAGTAAGTCCCCATTCGGCATGCCATCATGATTGCATGGCATCATTCCAGTGTACTAGAACCCCGGCGTAAGTTATACGTCTCTGCCTGAGGGATTGTCGTGAGACGGGTGCTGCTAAGCTTTTAGCTTGCGCCCTGGCCATGTGCCTGTGTAGAAGAAGAGGCCGTCACGGTCGTGTATCATATCAACTACATTGTACTATCAAGAACCACCCCAAAAAAAGGACGGACTGAGCTCAAGCTTGGCGTTTGTGAAGGCTGAGCAGAGCCATGAATAAAAATACTAGAACTTCAGGGTGAAAAGTTACGGGACCTCGGGATTTCCTTTGATCCCGTCGTCTTGCAGATGTGATGTGCTGTGTTCCTCGGAAGCTATGATTCTGAAGCAACCGTGTGATGTATGCATACGAAACATCAGACCAACGGGAAGAAGAAGAAATAGCAGCAGTAGAGAACCGTTGAAAGTCAGCAGTGGATCATGGACCGCTCTGTCAAGCGTCCGAGCATCTCGGAACAAAGGAAGAGAAGATTTTGCTGCTGCTGCTGCTGCTGCTGCTGCTCCCCAGACGATTGTAAACATGCCTGCTCTGATTGCGGGAGCTCAACTCCGCCGGTTCGGGAATGAAGCAAGAAAATAAAATTCTGAAGCAGTGACGCCGGGGTTGCAGATCGATTGTATCATGCGCAAAACCTTCACACATAAAGCTCGCGCGCAGCAGCACGAGCGCATTAGTCTTCGGGAAGATGGAGTAGACCATCGACCCGTCGTCCCATCACCAAGAAACTTGGGACGGTCGTGCAAAAAGCCAGTTTCAAGGCTTCCTTCTTCTTTCCTTCACACAAGATTTCTAGCCAATCCTCGCGCTCGCATTGTCACAAAAAACATGAGACTTGAGCCGGCCTACAGTACCAATGGTGGTGGAGTGGAGAGAGGTTTTGCTCGATTGTTAGACAGTTAAACTACACAGCCCACGTACCCTTGTCGAGCTCTCGTCGTTCGTTGCATCAGACCAAGCTGTGATTGTTGCAAAAAATTTCCTCAATGCTGATTTCCCCCTCTCGCAAGCGAGTTCCTTGTAATGTTGTCCAAACGGATGAGATGAGTTTGCCATCGCTTCAGGTCCGACTCGGCAGCAAAGTTTATCAAGCGGTAATCTCTCTGAGCAGACAATGTCTTTGGTGTAAGGAAGCCCCCGTTCTTCCGGGAGATAAGGTGCAAGGCATATCAAGCTTATGAGTACACTACTCTATAGACGTCCTGATGCCGCAGGATCGCAACAAAAGGTACCTAAGGTAACGGTCGGAACCATGAACTTAAGGCCCTGCAGGTCAGCAGTTGCAAAAGTGCTCTCTCGGGACCGTAGGAGACGACTTGGTCGATCCTTGACTGTCGTGCAAGCGGGTTGAGAAACGAAGACTCTTTGCTATAGGTGCAACTTGCCCAACTAGGCAATCGGCAGCCGGTATTATCTGGAATGGCGCCAGTGAAAAGACAGAGTGTCGGAGGTGCAGCGGAATGCAGAAAAAGAGCATGCATGTCTTGGCCTAGAACGGTGTCTGGGGAAGCCGATTGCAGCACGAAACATCAATCTGGCAGGTGGAAAGTCTTGGTATTTTGCACAGCCTCGTTTCCAGATCGCCAGAAGGGTATTTGCTGACCGTACAGCAGGACCGTAAGCTTCCGTGTCAATCAGAGAGAGGGGAGCGTTTCTGCGGCGTGTCGGGGCGATCGGGTTGAAACATTGGCGAACAGCGTCACAGAATGGGTGCTGCTGCCGTTGCAACGATCAGCGGCCGGGCCGTGTTGAATGCTGAAGGCAAATTCCATCTTGTTCGTCTGCTGTCCTCTGGGCTCTGCGGATAGAACCTCGATATCCATTGTGGCTGATTGTCCCTCTGCTAAGGATCAGACGAGCGTGTGCACTGGTAAATGTCTCTGACCAGCGGCGTAGGGAAGGGGCTGAGGCTCGGTGCAATTTGGCGCAGAGCTGGCTGAGCGAAGACAAAATTCGTAGGCCGACTCGTGTGCCGGCGCGGGCTGAGCCGGCATAGCGAAGTTCAAGCTTCGAAGGCGAGCCGTGACTGAGGCTTTTCGGGACCCCATCCCGCGATCAATCTCGCACGGGGTGACGGAATGCCTTGCCCCTATTCATCCGGCCGGTATGTCATAGCATGAACTCCTAGATCAAGGCAGGTTTTCTGCTGAGTTGGCGCCGCCATCGCTGCGGTTCGTTGAGAGGGGCGGCGGGCTCGCATCATGGGTGAACTCCCCTCCAAAGCCAAGCCCCAGCCCCAGATGATATGATGCCGGGGGTTGGAGGCGTTGCTCAGCCAAGGCCAGGAACACAAGCTTCGGTCATTCAGATTACACTGCAACCTGCCGACAACATGGTCAGAAGAAATTTCGGATAGAAGCGCGAACCTTGGTTTGATAGCATCGCAAGTGGTCCAAGGAGGCGCCGCCCCCAAGCCTATTATCGAACCGTAAACTCGAAGTGTTGTAGATACAGTGAGTGATTAAGACTGAGCTTGTCTTGTGAACACAACATTTGCTGCACAGCCCCCATCACTCCATGGACCCTTGGCTAGGGACTGAACGCTGTGGGGGTTTGACTCGGTATCCCTGGAGTCTTTTTAGCTTAACCGCGATAGCGCAAGAGCGGGGAGATGAGCTGTCGAGGTGTCGGTTGTCGAATCACTAATGAATATGGTGACAGTCAACAGGTCTGGTATCTGCATCTGTAGGGTAACGTTGACATTCGGAGTGTGCCCGAGTCCAGACTGGGCATCTCGAAGATCCGCGATGCAGGTGTCTCTAGAAACGGGTGGCTGCATGCCACTCGGAATGGACGCACCGGAGGCATCCCAAGACCTCAGAAGCGACAGGAGACCCAAGCCCTTGGTGGCTGTCTGCTGTGCCTGTTTCTCGCGTGTCCAGGGACGTACGGGAAGGGAAAATAAGAGAGACCCGAGTGTGAGGTCACAGGACATGGTGGACGGATACGGTGGGAAGGGTGCGAAGATGGCGATGCGCCGCTACCGACCGTAGTGCTGTCGACGGCTGCCGTAACTGCGGTCAAGTAGCGGGTCGGGGCACTGATTCTCAGCGCTTTGGAGCCCAAGTCTCGCTTCAGAGTGTGCCGTCATTCTTCACTACGTCCACCTGGGCTCAGTTCAGGTCCTTCGGATAGTGCGTGGGCGTGTGGGGGAACAGCCGTGGAAGAGGCTCCCGTCGTAGAATTGTTGCAGGGGGAGGCCTGCGGGAGGCGAAGAGGTTTGCTGCTGGAGCCGACAACGACAACGAGACTGCGTTCAGAGACTGCCCTGTCACAGGAGTGCCTGCCCTGAGGGAACAGCCGTGCCAGCCAGTTTGGGTTCAATGGAAGGCAAGCACCGCCCTCATGGCACACCGTAAAGTCGTCACTAAGGAAATTACCGATTGAGGCGGAGATAACTGGAGCCGCTACCGTAACGGTACGTACTCGAATCTAGCCCGTCCAAGAGTCTTAGCTCATCCGTTAAGGAAGACACCAAGGGACCAGAACACGGAAACTGCGCGTAAAGAATGGCTGGGGTGGCGAATGGCATTCTCGACAATTCGATTTCCAGCGGGGCCGACGAACCAAGACCTGTTCGATTCGTCAATAGTCTGCCGTGTCAAGCGGTTCCATCTATCTCCACGCCAGCGAGGGACGATGGAGGTCCAGGTCTTTCGTGGATCATTTCCCATGAGCCACCAGGTGCAAACCGCAGCACGGCGCGAAGCAAGGGCAAGGTCCTGTTGAGGATGAGCTTGAGGTATGGGCATGGCAGATATTGCAAAGCAATGTCGCGGAAAGCATCCCGTGGACACTTCTGACTTGAAGAATGCCAAGCCTTCTGGAGTGGGAGGAAAAACTTTTGCCGTATCATTTCTCTTTATCCGTATTGCCTCTTGCTCGTGCACAGCCCCAATTCATGTCAGCCGTGTTAGTCCTGGTCCTGTGCTGCTGGATGCCCAGTGCTTGCCTTTCACGCCTCTATCAGTCTCTCTGCTCAGAGGCAAGATAAGCAGCCCGGTGAGTTGTTGAAATGATGAGCCGAACGATCAAAGTAACTTGCGTATCTCATAGCATCTCTCTCAGCCTGTGTACACTAGGATTGTACAAGCTGGTGCCTTGCCGCTGTTCTCCATGCGTCGTCCGATCCCGACGTGCTCCTTCTCGCGCCAATGCACCTTGGCAAACCCACGCGCCCTGCTTTGCTGTGAACCTTTTTCCCACCATGAAGCCTGGAGTAAGCTGCCTGCACTCGCAGCGACTGGGCTGTAAATTGACTGCGTGACTAGCAACATAGGACGCGACTATGTTGTCCGTGGGAACGGATAAGGAAGGGGACCGTAGGAGACTCCCCGTCTGCCCGCCTGCCGTCTCCACCACTGTGACGGCACTCTCCAAAAAGGCGGCGAAACTTCAAACGGGCCCGTGAGTCCGTGTGGCCTTCCCGTTTCATCCACACAGACACTTCCAGCGCCCCACTCAACGTCCAGAGGCAACGGCACCCCTCCCCTCTACGCAGTACCTAAGCTAAGTACCTAACAACTCAGCCATCCACCATCCAACCATCCCACACTCCGCCCGACCCCAGTAGTCCCTCAGTAGCGCTTGGCCAAGCCACTCTCTCACTGGCACGCTCAAACATATAACCAAGACCGCCTCCCGCCAACCACCACGATCATTCTTCGCTCCAACTCCAGCAACAACCAAAACACTACACAAACAAACCGCACTACTGCAAGCCTCTCTTCTGCAGATGAATAAGATCACTACACAATCTGCGTAGAATACACAGTAAAGAGCTGGAAAACGACCTCCTCGTTACACACCGCAAAACCCACACCTCAACCACATACACATACACATACACAACCATCCAAAATGGAATCACCTCAGTTGGATACCCGCCCCATCTTCTCGAGACGCTCGACCGGCTCCAACAAGTCGCTCTCCCTCGATCTTTCGTCTCTGCCGCCTCTGGTCCAGCCGACGCCACCCACAAATACCCTCCTCTTCACAAACCTCAACGACACCTCCATCTTCCGCCCCGACAACCTCCAGACCATCCGCGACCTCATCCTCAAGACGGCGCCAGTCCACTCATGGGCACCACTCAAGTCCTTCCGCCGTATCGTCGTCTCCTTCTTCTCAGAGGACGACGCCATCGCCGTCCGCCGTGTCTGGGACGGTGAAGCCGTCATGGGCGAGCGCGTCCGCGTCTACTTTGGCCAGCCCACTCCCGTCGAGGTCACCGACCGCCATCTCGCCCTACCCGACGCCGGAAAGCTCTTCTTCATCTCTCCCCCTCCCTCGCCCCCCCACGGCTGGGAGATGAAGCTGGAAGACGCCCCCAACAAGATGGTGCACGCAGAGGACCTCGCCGATGCGCTGGCCAAGCTCCACCACCGCCCGACGGGCGTCGAGACCCCCATCAGCCCCGTCGACGGTTCAAGACAAACGCGCAGCAGGAGCTCAACCCTGCTCTACCAGCCTGACGTCAACGGCACCAGCCCCGATTTGCCTGCCATCTGCCTCGAGGACATGACCGACGAGCCAATGGAGTTCAGTCCTATCGAGCCGAAGCCCATCATGGCGCATACTTCTCGCCCACCCGTGGAGCTAATGCACCACGCATAATTCTTTGATTTCAACCCAATTTGATTTTTGAAAGAGCGATCTTGGTCAGGCGTTGGATGGTACGATATTGGGATTGTGGCGGTTCAGGAACTTTGGGCACGCATCTAGCATCGAATGGGCTTGCGATGGCGTTTAACGGAAAGACCACAGCTTGCACATTGGAGCGGTACACTTTTGGATTGGGGAGGAATACTATTCGAATGGGATCGGCACTGTCACACTGTCGTTCCTGCTGGCCAACGAGCCAATTTGTTGCGCAAAAAAAGTTTCTCCTGTGTTGCTAAGAAGCACACAAGGTCTTTTCCTGTACACTAGATTCACCTTTCGCTTTCAGTATTGAAAGACAGCGAAACAAACAAACTTGATTACCAACAAAGAAAAGTGACGTGGACCCCTATATCTGTCTCAGTATTGTAATATGTAGCTCTACTACTACTTCTGCGACCCGAAACCTGCGGCAGAGACGTTCATGCTGTGGAGTCAGATTCGTGGACTGGAATGATGCGCGCCAGGCCAAACGGTTTGATCTTCAGATACAGTGATCTACAGTGTGGCTTTTGAACCCCATCAACCAAGGGCAGAAGAAATCCGGCCCCTCACAGCCGATCGGGACCAGGCCGTCTGACGATTGTTTCTGACGTATGATGGGCACCTTTGTCCCTGCAAGGACTCACGTTCATCGGCAGGTATAATGCTCAGAGAACCCTCCCAAACAGGGCCGACGCCCCGCGGATGCCGAGCCAGGCGAGCAAACCGCCCACGGTGGCAACCACGCCTAATGTGATGAGGCTCCGGCGTTCGTTGCTGCGCACGCGGCGTGTGCTTGCTCCTGCTCGTGCTCCCGTCTTTGCATCTGCGGGGGTGGAGCCGGGCTCGTGAGTCGACGGGTCCGGGTGCTGCTGGGTCCGGGCCGCTGCCTCGGTGGACGGAACGTCTAGGGTCGGGATGTACTTGAATTCGAAGTTTGTTTCTTTGCCTAGGGCGCCGAGCTCGGGTTTGTTGATTGTTATATTGAAGAGGGCTTTTTTGAGGTTCTGGGAGGGGTGTTAGAGGGCACTGTAAGTTCATGTTGTAATTAAGGGGGTCGCGTTCTCTTTTGTCAAGTTGTTGCCGACATATGAACAAATTATAAAAAGAGTATATCCAAAGGTAGATTGTAACTAACCTCATTCCTCGACTCGTCCCAACGGGGAAACAGACGGCGGGAGTAACACATGAACATGAAGAAGAGACACTGGCCGAGTATAAGCAGCGAGTAATAAAACGGCGGCTTCTCCACCGCCAACGCGCGCGCGAGCTTGGGGCCGTTGAGCCAGTACGTCTCGGCGGCGAGGAACTCCCTCGAGACGTGCCAGGGCGGCTGCTCGGCAAGGCCCGTGAGGACGTTGTTGGCGAGGGCGCGCGAGGTGTCGGAGGGTTGGATCTCGGAGGCAAGCAAGGACTCCATCATCGCCCTGGCCTTGTTCAGGCTCGAAAAAGCGTCGGTGGGCGTGCCCATGATGTAGGCCACGTAGCGCCAGAGGGCGAGGTAGTCCTGTTTCTCGCTGTCCTTGAGGAAGATGCCTTGGCGGGGCAGGCCGATCCAGAGGAGGGTGGAGGAGAAGGTCGTGATTGTGCCAATGGAGTCGAGGTCGTTCACGGGGACGCCGTAGGCTGCCACGTCGTAGTAGGAGGGTCTCTGCTTGGCGAGGAGGAGGATGCGGCGGCGGACGGCGGCGTGGAGCAGGCGGACCCGGACGGAGGAGGCGTGGCCTTGGCCGCCGGGCTGAATGGAGGGGAGGTCACGGGTGACTTGGATGATGTGCTGAAAGGTCTCGAGGAGGCGGCGGCGGGTGACGTTGACGCCGAAGCCGCCTGTTCTAGAAAGGGTTTCTACGACGCGGCGGCCGCCCATGCCGCCTACGAGGGATTGGAATGTGAGCTGTAGGTTTGGTGTTAGTGAGGGCTAAGAGGTTTATGACGAGGACATACATCGCGATATGAGTGTGGATTGGACTTACGGCGAATATGGTTGGGGCTGCGTATCGGAGGAAGACTTGCTGTCCGCGTTCTATTTGGGCCCAGTCAACCCACGGCGGGATGGTGTTGATTTCAGTCCATAGTTTTTCCAGAACCTCGTCTGTGTCTGCATTGTCTTTCAAGAGAGCATACAGGTCTCGATGTGGTTTCGCATTCTGAGGAGTGTCCCCTTTCTCACTCGGGTTGGTTGAGGGTCCCACGGGAGGTGATATCTCATCCAGTCGGTCCAATGCTTCGGCGCTGAGCTCATCGTAAGTATATATCATTGGGCGAAGGTCATCAGATGTGAGGTGCTCATCGGTCCACTTAAACCAGTAGTCCCAGACTTCTCGCCACTCTTCACCCCGGTACCAAAGGACACCTGCCATTGCTTTTACTGGAGTTGCAAAGCTTTGACAGTAGACGATGTAAAAGGAGAGTCAGATGAAATGAATGTATGAGACTCTAGCCAAGCACTAAGTCTAAAGTTGAGGAGAGAAAATTTGAAAAAGGCCTGGAAGTCTCAGTGTTCAATTCGCCTTGGCGAATCGGGGGGGCAAGGCTCAAGCTAAGGGCGGAATGACTTCATAGACCTCAAAAGACTTGTCTCATCGGGAACTAGATGTTGTACCCAAAGTCTTCATCCGATTTAAGCTCCAGAAATCATATGAAACGAATAACTACAAGAAAACGAATACAAGGCAATGAATGCAGGACCAGAGAGAAAAGCAACTTTAACTTGAAAGTTGGAGACAACCGAAGTGGTGGCCCTTCTCGGATGAGGAGGGTTTGACACCTGACTGGGCGAATCACCGGACCACACTGGTCGACCCGTAAGCCGGCTGGAAAGATGAGGGTAACTGCTACTGAGATTGGACGAAGATGCAGGTATGTGCTTCGGGAAGGTTGGCCCCACGGCCTCAAAGACTGCCAAGGACATGGATGTGCCATGATGTCTGCACGTGATTGGGCCTTCTCTCCAGTTGTGAGGCAGGGGCGGTATTCGGTTTGGACTGATAATTATCACGAGCTCGGTTGGACGAAATAGCCTTTAGGACCTCTGCTTTATTAGACTTGAAAGAGTTCTGCAAGTAAGGCCATGGGTTGTAGCTGATGATGTGATGGACGTGCTTCTCTTTGATCACTTCAAACCCATGTTGGTGTTAGTCCAAATAATGTAAAAGCAGTCCACCGGGATCAATAAAGGTATATATGACATGACCTAAGAACTAAGGGGCTAGAACAACAAAAAAGAGTTCACCTCGGTAGGCTACATCTCTTGGTGCTCATGCTGGGATTCGAACTCGGGTACTCGCTAAGCCTGTCGTCGAGTAGGCTGGTTGGCGTGAAATTGATTGTTGACCTTAAACCACTCCACCAACCAGCAAGATTGACCTGATCCATCGACCTAGACGGACGCCTGCTTGCTGGTGACAGGAATGGGATTGAAAGGGAGTATATAGGCATTCTGTGTATATTCACTCCGGTGATAGAATGGGATGAAGTCGATGTTCATTCTGATAAGGTAGGCGCTGGCGGGGCACCGCTTTCGAGTGCTGACTTCCCACCGCCGCCCCGCTGCAAGCACTTTCACAATAGCCCCTACAGTTACCCGGCGCAGCGGCGCTTTTCCGCCGGGCGCCCCTGCGGCGGGTTCCCTTCTCCTGTCTGCGCGTCCCGTCCCGTCCAGTCGCGGAACCAGATTAATTAGACTCGAGCTCGACTTTTTTTTTTCTCCTTCCCGGGCCAGCAAACGCCTCCTTGTCTAACCTCACCTCAACCTACCTCATATCCGGCCTTGCTTCAAAGTACGACTTCCTCCCATCTCGTCCCGAATCAGAAATCGCACGATCACGCGATGCTCTGCTCTTGTCGCCTGAGCCCCCTGCGGCTTTTCGTCCAGGGTATTTCGCAATTGCACATCTCTGAACCCTTCGTCGCAACGAGACTCCCGCAACACCTCAAGAACACCCGTACCTTACAGATCAGCCAAGCCTCCACGTTTGCGACTTCGGCCGTCCGCAACAAAAAGCGTGACTTTATACCATTTGAAAAAGGAGGAAAGCAGGCTACATCAAGAGGGCCACTGGAAGAACAACCCGACGAAGAACCGGCGAAACCGAAGCGAGAAAACTGGCAGCTCCAAAAAGAGGCCCTAAAGAAGAAGTTCCCGGACGGCTGGAATCCGCGCAAGCGCCTGTCCCCGGATGCAATTGCTGGCATCAAGGCGCTGCACGCCCAGTTCCCTGAGGAGTACGATCTGAAGACGCTCGCCGACAAGTTTCAAATGTCGCCCGAGGCGATCCGCCGTATTCTGAGGAGCAAGTGGCAGGCGACGCCCGAGGAAGAAGAGGACAGGCAGGAGAGGTGGTTCCGGCGCGGCGTTAATGTGTGGTCGCGGTACGCGGAGCTGGGCCTGAAGCCGCCCAGCAAATGGCGCCGCGAGGGCGTTACCCGAGACCCGTCGTACCATCAGAACCGTAAGGAGGCGATACAGAGGAGGAAAGAGGAGGAAGCCAAGGAGAATGTCGGGGAGAGGCTGCAGCGGAAGCTGTCTGATACCATCATGTGAGTGCTGGACAATAGCGACTGTACTTCTTTTCGACCAGCAGCTCGGATACCATCTCAGCTCTTACATCATAACGGCCGGCACATGGCCTCAAGAATCTAATAATGAACATCACATCAACATACATCTCCAGCGCAGCGATTGTCAAACTCAAGTGGTCGAATATGCGCATTGTGACGGAGCCAATCATTCACCCCTAGCGGTTGCATGAACCCCATACTACTCATTGGATCTGCGATAGGCTGCTGTCAGCCTCCTTCACAGATGCAAAACCTCATCGCATGCGCAAATCGAAGACATTATCATCAAGAAACGTCCCAGCTTGTAATTTTAGACAAATACACGAGTCGCCAAATTAAACCATGAGACTTCTATCGACAAAGACAACAAAACTCGAGGTCTTTCATCTCGAAAATGCTCCACCTTACGCAGTGCTATCTCATCTTTGGGAGCATGACGAGGTTCTATTCCAAGATATGGGAGACTTGTCCAGAGCGGCTCGGAGAGGTGGCTTCCTAAAGATACAATTGGCATGTGCTGCGGCTGAAAGACAAGGACTCGGGCATATCTGGATCGATACCTGCTGCGTAGACAAGGATAGCGAAGCTGAGCGGAACGAAGCAGTCGAGTTCAGCTTTCGCATCTTCAAATCAGCGGCAGTATGCATTGCCTACCTGTCTGACGTTAGATCAGAGAGTGCTATGCTGGCTGAGTATACTTCTGTAGCTGACCCTTTTCTGGACAACAACCTGGAGGGCAAATTTCGACATACATTCAAACGTAGTCGATGGTTCACGCGATCCTGGACACTGCCGGAACTTGTCGCTCCACCGGGCCTTCTATTCTATTCCCATGGATGGGAACTAATCGGCACACGATCGCAGCTCCGGGAGCATCTGTTCGATATTACTGGTGTTGACACTTTCGTTCTCCAAGGTGGTGATCTCGCGAAGGTATCTGTGGCCAGGAAGATGTTCTGGGCCACAAGCCGAAATGCATATCGACTCGAGGACATTGCATACTCTCTGGCGGGATTATTCGGCGTCGAGATGATTCCAATCTATGGCGAGGGCAACGTAAGAGCATTCTTACGTTTGCAAGAACATATTGCGAAGACCGTCCCAGACCCCACGCTGTTTGCCTGGAGAGAAGATTGGGTTCGGAAGACCTCGAGGTGGAATAATTTCCCAGATCTTGTCGACTCACCCAACCTCTGGGCCTATTTTGCAACCAGTCCAGGTGCTTTTAGCCACTGTGGAAGGATGTTTCCCGCCATGTTGGCCATTGACGATGCCGATCCCGATCGGAGAAACTTCGACGATGATGACTACTCAGCATGGGAAACTAGCTCTGTTGTATCCTTTGACTCGTCAGCAACCACGTTGATTGAGGGGCCAACTTCAAAACCTGTCACATTGGGCCTGAGCAACGCCATCACATTTTTTTCGGAGAATGACACGTTATGTACACTGCTTGGTTCGGCTGTGAGAAAGCCTGAAATAGGATCCGATAGGCTTCGGAGGAATTTTACCCGGGTTTTACGATCATTGGGGCTAGAGTTGGCGATAGAAGCCGCGTCCAAAGACGAAGCTCTATCAGCCGTATTTTTCCGTGTATATCGGGTGGCAATCGCATCAGGGGTCACATCGAGAATCGTTGTGAAGACCCTCGAGCCCATCGCCTTCGATCAGCCGAGAACTAAAGCGCCGGAATCTATTTCAGGCACTTTATCTGAGGATCCTCACCCAAATGAAGTCGTGCAGGTCGAGCAGGAAGACGACAACCTAGATCATGAAGAAGATGGATATATCTCCGAGGAGAAAGAGAAGGAGGAACAAACGAATGAGTTGAACTTTGAGTCTATCCGGGCTTTTGTTCTCACCAGCGGGGCATTCGAAAACATGAAGAGAAGACTCACCGACTTTGTCAACCCCACCTTCCGTACTCAGGCCCAGAAGCTCGTTGCGAAGGTCCTCGAAGGCAAAGACACATTGGATGACCAGTATTGGGTTGGCATGAAGGACAAGATGCAAGCCATCCTAACAGAGCTGGAAGAGTCGTGTCCTCAAAGCGTTGTGCTGGACACCACAACCACCCCCAAGAGGCTCGATTTATTCCAAATATGGGTGGAAACTTTGACAAAGGAAATTTGGGATTGGTGGCCTATGTCGCCGCCCAAGCATGCTTTGAGCTCGACTGAGATGCGACTTGGATGGCGCTGTGTAAGTTCGATGTGTCGGTCACTCACAGAGACTTACGTTGCTGATATTACACACTCAGAGGTGCGGCATGTCAAGATGGGAAACCGTTCCAGCTTCATTTGCGGGTAGCATCACAATGTTGCTGCAAAGGTATCCTCTCGCAAGCGGAAACCATACAGCCTTAGCAAGCGTCCCAGCACTAGACGCTCTGCCGACGTCTTCGAAAATCGATGAGGCGTCATCGCTGGGGACAAGATCTATCAAGACCTCCAGCGTCAGCGAATCACCAAAGTTGCCCGACCCAGCGTCCTCGCCTGTTCAGGAGAATCAGACTGGTCAGAAGCGTGAATATCCCCGGCCGAGGTACATCTTTTTGCTCGCGACTACGGGTCGGCATCGGCTTAGGCAACTACCCTCGCTCTACTTAGACACCGTGGATTTTGGACAAGAATTGCGAAAAGCGTATCGCGAGCTGAAAGGCTTCTGGAGGAGGTGGTTTTCGCCTTACAAATTCTCTCATTGCGAGTTTGTGCGTGTAAGTGATATCCTTTCGTTCGTCCTAAAGCGAGGCAAAGACACTAGATTCTTCCCCATCACGGCCTCGTGGGATGGCTAGCATAATAGCACGCGAGCCTGAAGACTCATATTGAATTCTCGCCAGTTCGAAAAGTTCTGCCGCAACGGCTTCGCCCACCGCGGCCTCGAAGTTCCAAATACATCCCAAAAGGACTACTACTACAACCCGCGTCCCGCCCTTCGCGAACCCCCGATCTCTCCCGAAGAGTTCAGCCACGTCTTCCACTACACAGCCAAGAGCGAGGCCGTCATTTGGAAATCGCTCGGCCTGCCGTTCTATGATATAGTGGAGGCGCTGAGCGACGATACCGTCGGATGCATACCGCAACGGTACCACTACCTCGACGAGCGGAGCAATCGCAAAGAGGACTTTTGGGGCCTGTATATCAGAGAACGGCGGTCTGCGCTGATGACGTCGGTGTATATCCTGCTATGCCTCTCGCCTTTTTTTGCGTTTTGCTTTTTGTACTTGTTTGGAGTTATTTCGGGGGATATACAGAATGCGACGACGCCGCTTGCGTTGGCGTTGACGGCTCTTGGGTTGTTTTTGGGGTCTATGGTTAAGTCTTAGGAAGAGGGACTTCTTCGATGCCATGTTTAGTGATCTTTCCGTGGCTTTAGCGGGATTGTATGAGGATATATGGATGTTTGGCGTTGGAGTCTGATACCAGGAAAGGGTTGAGCCATTGTCACAGCTGGTGTGAATCAGATGTCGGTCCTCCCTTCAGCAGATTAACTCATTTTTCACCGTATTACTTACTACTTCAAGTTTCAAGACGTGGGAAGTGTGCAATCAACAAATAATGAAAGAACCCTTTCGGCAGGTTCATATTTCGCAACTCTGTAAGTGCCACATCATGAAGACACCGGCTTTGAGTATAGAATCAAGGGATCAAACCATTACATCGTTCCTATGCACATAGCCCGCACTCACTCATGCATATCAAATTTCACTCAACTACTAAGCCTCCAGCAAAACACAACCCAAAGCAAAAAGCAAAAGAAACTGTTCGCCGAATGACGATGATTCCAAGGACCGACCGCGATTCGAACGCGGGGCCTAGAGATAGGTTGCTGCTGAGGAGCTGCAATCTCTCGCTCTACCACTGAGCTATCGATCCTGGGTTAGGCGGGATGAAGGGCTTAGTCATCTGGCTGTTGGGAAAGAGGGCGTCTCCATCGTCTCATGGAGACTCTGGCAAGGAAGGAGAAAATGCAGCAAGGGGATACATAAGCGAGAGGCAAAGAGAGAGAAGCGAGTTGGGGACTTGAGAAGTGGGAACCGTTGATGTGGATGATGTGGTTACATGACACGCTTCGCCTGCAGACGTGGAGTGGGGGCTTTTTTTCTGCTTAGCAAATTGTGCATATGTAACCATATGAACATGTTCATTGTATGCAGGTGAGAAGGACGGGTGGGATATGGAAAACTAGACGAAGCGCGGGATGCTTCACATTCACAAGAAGACAGGTAACGGAGCGACGTGCGTTGTGGGAAACTTGCAAGTGGCATTTAAACACAAGTTTGATATTTCGGCTCCCAGTGCTAGCTCCTTCAACCTAGGGCTATGTTAATTAATGTACAGGGCGAGGCCAGTCTAAACACAACGCTAGAGCTTTAGATACCCAAGGAGAACTCGACGCCGACATCAATGTCACGGGCTAGAGGATTACAGTTAGCATCTGAGCTTTAAGAACGAGTGTATGGGGAATTCTATGACTTACCCATCTTGACAACCTTGGACAGTTGCACAGCCTTCTCGGCGGCGGTCTGGAGGTCGTCGATGGAGAAGATCTTCATGCCAGAGTTGTTGATGATCTCGTGGGCGGCCTCGACGTTGGTACCCTGGAGACGGGCAATGATGGGGATCTTGAGGTTGAGCTCCTTGGAGGCGTTGATGAGACCCTTGGCGATGAGATCGCAGCGAACGATACCACCGAAGATGTTGACAAAGATGGCAGAGACCTTGGGGTCGCTCGTGATGAGCTCAAAGGCCTCCTTGATGGCGGCGGGGGTGGCACCACCACCGACGTCGAGGAAGTTGGCGGGGGTACCCTTGTTGAGCTTGATGATGTCCATCGTGGCCATGGCCAGACCGGCACCGTTGACGAGGCAGCCAATGTCACCGTCGAGCTTGATGAAGTTGAGGCCGGACTCGGCGGCGCGGACCTCGTCGGCGTCCTCCTGGGTGGTGTCGCGGAGAGCGAAGACCTCCTTCTGACGGTAGTCGGCGTTGTCGTCGAAGCCGAACTTAGCGTCCATGCAGAGGACCTTGTGGTCAGAGGTCTCGGAGAGGGGGTTGATCTCGATCTGGGTGGCGTCCTTCTCGAGGAAGATCTTGTAGAGCTTCTGGATGGTGTCCTTGGCGTCCTCGATGCACTGCTCGCTGAAGCCGAGCTTAACGGCGATGTCGCGGGCGATCTCGTCGGTGACACCCTTGTTGATGTCAATGTTGGTGGTGATGATGGCGTCGGGGTTCTCCTTGGCGACGGTCTCGATGTCCATACCGCCCTGGGAGGAGGAGACGATGACGGGGGCCTGGGAGGCGCGGTCCATCAGGATGGCGAGGTAGAACTCGCGGCGGGCGAACTTGCGCTCGCAAATGTAGACGGAGCTGCAGAGCTTGCCGCCGGCGCCGGTCTGCTTGGTGATGAGCTTGTGGCCAATCATCTGCTCGGCGAACATCTCGGCCTCAGTGGGGGAGTAGATGACGCGAACACCGCCCTTGAGGCCGTTGTCGAAGGTACCCTTTCCACGTCCACCGGCGAGGACCTGGGCCTTGATGACCATATCCTCACCACCAATCTCCTTTGCGATGGCCTTGGCCTCGGCGGCGGTCTTCGCGTTGGATCCCTTGGGGACACCGACTCCATACTAAAAACGAAAAAGCGACCCTCACGTTAGCTATTGTTTTGGTTCTTTATCGCGCTGAGCTGGCTGAGAAGCTCCTGAAAAACTGGCCCCCCCGAAAAGGAGTGGGGCCCCATGTATCGCAGATTCTCTGGTGGGTGTGTTTACCTGGCGCAGAAGGTCGGCGGAGAGGTACTCGTGAATGCTGAGGTTTCTCCTTTGTTGCTGGGCAAGGCCCGGGTATCTGGGAGCGGCGACCTTTGAGGAAGTTTGGATGGCAGAAGCCAACCGGCTGCGTCCGAGCTTGAACATGATTGTGAAGGGGGTTTATGTGTTCGTGTCGCGAAGGACGGGGGGTGGTTTTCGAAGATCGGAGGAAGAGGGAAAAAACGTCAAGCGCGCCTGTCAATTAAATGACTGACAAGAAGGTCCCGACGGGTGGGATGAAAGGCGCGAAGTCGTAGGAAGGAAAAAGGAAGAGGACTGACGAGGAGTCCTTCGAGTGTGCTGTGATGCAATTGGTTTTGCAGGAAAGCGCTATCTCCAGCAATCTCAAACGGGAAAACCAGAGGTTTCTGGGCCGCGGGAATTCCCGGTCCTCTGGTTGGTTTTCGCTCGGAACAAAGCTTCAGCCGAGCTACAGGGTTCCACCGCCGCTTTTAGCTGCCAACGGAGCTTGCTTCCTCCGCCAAAACCGTCGCCATATTTCTGTGACCCTACACATCTAAGTTTAGGGAAGTACAAAGTAGAACCTGATAATCACAGATAGATTAGCTCATATCTTCATTTCTCTCTTAGGACTTCACAATAACTCCATATCACTAGGTATTCCATCGCTGGCCGAGGCACGGGATAGCTCCGTCGAGAAGTCAGGGTCGAACTCGGAGACCATCCGGTAAAGCGGCCGAAAGTGGCCCGAGCTCCGAACCCGTGCGCCTGTCAAGACACAACGCCAACCACGTGTCTGCACTGCTGCAGGAAGCTGCATCTGCAGGCTCATCATGTGGCGTCATTTCTTCACCTCGACTTTCAGACATTGCTAGGACCCAGCTTTCTGCACGCTGCCAGGCGACTCCAGAAGCAGCACGTTCATTTGTACTAATATTGTTGAAAAACTTACAGATACACCAGAACAAGTCTTGACTCCCTCGGCTCAGCTCCAACCTACCCCTTTCTTGAGCGCCATTGCGTATAACCATATTGCGGCATAATGGCAACCGAGATGAACCCTACCCATCCAATCGTCTTGTCTGATTCAGTATAGATGCTATCTTGACGACATCATATGTATTTCGGAACCGAGAGGTCGTACCTATGACGGTGAAACTCGCTTGATCGCAGTTTTGGAACCTGCTACAAAGTCAGCGACCATTGTTGAAGTTGCCAAAGGTTGTGACTTACAGAACTCATCTCGGTATGACTTTGCCAGTGCGCCAGAGTCAGCCTTTCACCACGTTTAATCCATCCACTATATCTGTTGCGTGACCGCTTAGTTGGTGGACGCAATACTCAGGTGCCGCGCTGGAAGTCGGGCGGAGAGCCTTAGATGTTGCCATTTTCGACACCAGCTATCGGCTCTGGTACAACACTGACTACGACTGACCATGACTGGCATACGTGGACCAGGACGTAGACGGGCCGGTCTTGCGCCAATACCCACTGAGCCACGACTCTGCACAGTATGATCATGGGCAAGGCTTTCCTCAATCGTCCCAACCACAGTCGCAGTCTTCGGCTAGCCAACCACCATGTGCTGATATCCGCTCGAGCTTGATCCAGCCTCCTCGCGGTAGTCGATCCCGCAGCTCGAATGATCTCCTTGGCATTTGATAGCAGGCTGCCGGCAAATTGCAATATCCTGCGCAGCCAAAGACGCGATGAGGGTTTTCCTTCTTGGTGGGAAGCGGTGGCTGCCGTGCTCTTGTCGTCGTCATCCGTAGGCGTTATTGCGGAGGGCTGGACATAGCAGGAGAGCTGGTAGGAGTAGTATTCCTCAACGTACTGCTCATCGGACGCATCGTTCTCGAATTCCGGTAGCCGGCAGAAGGGGTTCTGTGGTAGTGTTGTTGAAGTATTCCAAGTAGTGTTTCGCGCATTTGTATGGCTCCAGTTGCTTCGTGCCGGGCAATACGAAGGCCGCTGACACACATCCATCTGGTTTGAGTTTCGTCATTCCCAGCATAGGATTTTACTAGAGTTGACCGTCAGGGTTCATGTCGTTAAGCTGGGTTGACGATGGGCTGTGATGTGGAAGTCAACCCAGCTTAATGCCTTGACGGCTTAATAGTGAAGGGCGAGGCGAGACTATAGACGTCCCGTTCTCAAAGACGGCAGTTCTTTGCGTGTCCAGGCATGACAGCCATTGAATCCGGTAGAAGCCTCAATAACCCTAGGCTGCTCTGAGTTCAGCAAAGGTCCTTGGGTAAGCAGGTGCTGGTAAAAGACTCACACATCATAATGCAATTTTAGTACTCAGACTAGAAGAGACGCGAACCTCAAGGAGTAAGAACATGCCTGATGATTCTGCTGCATGTTAGGTCTAGAATGAAAGAAGCGATAAAGGAGCTGTCTTAGCAAGCCTAGTTGCGAATTTGGGAAGACCCCTGTCTTTGATCTGATATGACTTTCACTTTGTCTCAGCAACACTTGTTGCTTTGAAGTCGTTTAGTAACTGGTTAAAATCCGATTTCTTTAAAGGAAAGACGGACCAAAATGGTAATTGGCAAAGAAGAGCAGATCAAGAAAGACATCAACAGTCACAAGTGTCGGGCCGGAAGAACCTATATCATCAAATTGACTCCGATGCGACGCCGGACGTAGTGATCAGGCCATTCCACTCCGCAAATCCCAGGACCCATCTCCGAGATCCCTCCAGCCACAGCATCTGTCGGCACAAAATGGATACCCCTTCGGCTATTGCGATTCTCGGATGAAGGGGCGTCCACAACAACCATCAAGCGGAAGGGAAGGGGATCCACCGTGAGGCTCAACAGACATGTCGTTTCCCGGCCCGCGGTTAACTCTCTTAAATTCCTCTCGAGATCCCAGTCGTCGTGACCGTTTGACCTTACAATACCCTTGCTACGGGAATAGCGTTCCCATGCATCCCTCCCGTTTCTTGAATGTTCTTAGCTTGCATGCTAGCGAAAGGCCCTCCCGGCGGACACTTCCCGAACCTTGCCCATATCTATTGACACTGACCAGGGTCGATGACGCGAATTTTGGTTTTTGTTCGGGATGATTCCTTGACGGGGTCTGGACTTTGGTGTTGCGGATGATGGAGATACTCGCCATTTCTTCTCGCCACTTATTCCCGGGTTTTCTCCCTCACGAAGACACCTCCAAAACTTTTGGAGACCAAATATTCTTCTCATTTTTTTTCGGTTTCCGAGCAGAGACACCAGGCTGAACGTGTCCGCTAGCTACCGTTTGCTGATCGGCCGGATGATCGGTGCCTTACACAGCTCGCGGTCGCAGTCGCAGTCGCGAAACCGTTGACGACGTCGCAGCCACAACCGCAACCTCGCAACGACGAAGCCAGCGAAACAGTTTCAAGTAGGGCACCGCTCAGGTCTTATCGCACACCCGGTAATAGAAAGATGAGGAAAAAAACTGTTGATTCCATGATGGAATAGGCTCCACATCGTATGTTGGCCGTAGGAACAACAAGGAAAAGCGGGCTCTGACATTGCGAAGACTCTCCGAACCAGTCCCGAGCCAACTTCAAGGTGAGGTGAGAAGACGTTGGAGGCGATCGGCGAAACCGCGAATGTGACTAACCCAACCAGTACGTACCCCCTTCGAACCTCACAAATCTCGCGACTAACTTGTACCTAGACCATTTTTCTCTCCTTTCCTCTCAAGTTTTCACAACGCCGTCTTCTTCGAGATTTTGCTAGTCTTCCTGGACTCGAGTGGGCCTTGGACACGAGACCGAGCAACGACTGCAGTCTTATTGACAGCGGTTCCAAGGAAGCGAGACGCACATGGCATCGCACTTTGGAGGTGCGCCGGCGGCGGCAGCCAGCCCGGTGCTAGCTTCTTAGGCAAGCGCCCAGTCGAGATTGTTCTTCGTACACCTCAGCCGGGGCGTCGAGCTTTTGCAAGTGTGCAAGCCGTCCACTCAGCTCAGCTTCACATGCAGGTAGGTCATGGGTAATACATCCAGGGGTCCCACAAGACCGTCTTTGACCTGGGCTCGGCCGGCCATGGTCTCGGAGGTCATTCATCGTGGGTATATAATCTCACTGGGGCCACCCTTTCCCGAGAAGTCTCCCTCCCCTTGTCTCGGTTTTCCTGTCTCCATCTCCAGTTCTGTTTCCTCGCCTTCGTTCCAGAGTCTCTACGCTTTCTTGTCAAGGGGGTCACCGTTTGACCTTTACCAAGTCCAGTCGATCTCTACTTATACCCTCATACACACGCATACACATAGACCCTCTGGACTTGGTTCACTGGTCCCTTGATCCCTTCCTTCTACTTCATCTCTCAAGCTCCAACAAACACCAACATCACAATGCCTTCCGAACAAAAGCCGCTCAGCTGGTGGAAGCGCCACTGCACCCCGCCGCCAGCCATCAACCGAACTCCCCAATGTCCATGCTCCGCCTGCTGGAACGGTAACGGCGAGCACTGGAAGACGACCGTCCCACAGACCACGGCGCCAAAGTACGCGTCCATCCCGAGCCAAGCAGCAGCAAAAGAGACACGGACGATGGCTCTGCGACGAGAGTCAGAATCAGACCTGACACCGCTCCGCCGCGAAGAGACTTCGTCGACGACAAACCTCAGCGTCTACTCCCAAGATAGCAACGCCAGTTCAGACCGCGCCTCTGTCACCGACGTTCACCGCCTAGCTCTGGGAAAGGAAATCATCTAAGAGGGTAGAGAAGGGAGAGGGAAGGGGGTGATGAGGGATGGAGGGGAAAGCGAATGACAAGAACGCGAGGAAAGCTGACTACATCTGGGCTACATTTACCCCGGGAAGTGGCATCTTGGCGTTGGGGAAGTCTGGACCATTCTTTCCGACAATTCCTCTTTACTTGCCCTGTGTCGCTCGAGCAAGGCCGGCCGTCCTTTCATTCAGGCAGGTTGGATCACAGCCCCTCAATCCTGCCCCCGGACGCCAAGACGCTTACTATCGTCAAGAGCATCGTTGTTCTCGCAAGCTGCACAAGCGACGGTCCAGAGCACCAGATTTAGGGTTTGAGATGCCAGATAAGGGGTCCTTGGGTCGCAGTCGTTGGACGAACTGGGAGCGACGCCGGCGGGCGTCCACCCCCTAGCTTTGTGTTAGCGGGGGTGGTGGACTGGTCCCGTTGGGCTGGTGAGATCTCAATCCTGGGGAAGTGATAGGATGGGGTAAACAGAAACATGCTCTTGGGTCTTGGCCCTTTGGTGTGGTGCCGTGCCGCTGGTGGTTGGCGTGCTAGCTATCTCGCTTTTGGCTTGAGGTGGGCTTGGAGAGTTGGGGTAATGGCAGGCCTGACCAGGTATGGTATGCCGGGGGGTTTTTGGCTCCCGCATGTCAGCCAGTCAGGCGGGACGGAGAATCAGCCAAATGAGGTTCGCTTGGTTGGTCCGGTGGTCTCTCGGGAAGCCGTGACTTGGATGTTGTGTCAAGGCGATAGATACCATGAGATAGAGAAGGGTGTTTTGGTGTTGGTACATTGCGGAGGGCGTTACTTTCTACACGAACACTGGAGGATGCTTTGGGGTTCATTTTGCTAGTTCAATAAACATTACACCAAAGACTTCGGTACCCGGGTTTCCAGTATGATTTATCTCATCTTTCAGATAGCTTCCAGGTTTCTATCATTTCTCTGCTCCTCCTACTGTCTCGAAGAATCATTCGAAGCTTTGGCGGAGCATCTACGGCCCCATCACGGCCCCGTCATTTTTGATCGGTCGGGAACCTGACCCCACCATTGCACCGGGAGCCGAATCAGGTATTTTTTTTTTTTTTTTTGGGAGCAACAAGCTTTGAAAACAGCACGCAATAGCTTTAAAGAGTGACAACAGCAGCACCTTAAGGCGAACTCCAACAAAGATAGTCAACAAAACCAAAGTATAGAACGCTTCTGAGCGACAAACACAGCACTGGCAGTGCAAACAGCAAAAGACAAGGACCGACCGCGATTCGAACGCGGGGCCTAGAGATAAACTGCGTTTAACTGCAATCTCTCGCTCTACCACTGAGCTATCGATCCAAGTAGTTATTGAATGTGAGCAGGACTACCAGAGCAGTATTCAAGACGGGTGAGAGGACACGGTGGCTGCAAATGACAAACAGAATGGGTCTCTGTGGGGCTGAAAGGTATGCAGCTTAGGGCGGTACAGTCACTGTGGAGGCCGTTGCTATTCTACGTCACTAAGAGCTCACCCCAACGGTCTGAGCTGGTGGCATGTAACTGAGGTGAGCTCCAGAGCTCAACTTTGAATCACACAAACTACCAGCCTGTCAAACCAGACTCGATCGAGTCAATCCCACACATCTCGAAGAATGGCACCACATGTAGATCCAGCCATCCTCGAAGCCCTCCAGCTTGATCCTGAACAGACCAAGATCGCGTCTCATGGCGGCTCCGGATTCGCATCATCTTTCAAACTCACCTCTGTCATCGATGGTCAGCCCACCAACTTCTTCGTCAAGACGGGGTCTGGGAAAGACGCCGAAGTCATGTTTAGAGGTCGGTGAAACCTGGCTGGAGTGCAGAGTAATCTGGTGAAGAAACACATCTGCACTTGATTTGGCATCCAAAGCTGTCTTAGAAGCAGGAGCATTGACACTTCCCGCAGGCGAACATGAATCGCTAAACGCAATCCACAACGCCGTGCCGAATTTCTGCCCAAAGTCGCACGCCCACGGGCGATACCAATCATCCCCGGGCACATACTTCCTCGTCACAGATTTCTTGGATCTGGGATCCTCGGCCCCTGGCGGATCGGGCATGTCGCTGGCCGCGAAGCTCGCCAAGATGCACACGACTCCGGCGCCCGTCCCGGAGGGATTCGACAGGCCTATGTACGGCTTTCCTGTGAGCACATGCTGCGGCTCGACGCCACAGGAGAACGCGTGGAAGGAGACGTGGGCCGAGTTCTATGCCGAGAACCGGCTGCGCGGCGTTTTGCGCGCAGGGATCAGGAGGAACGGCGCA